CAGCATAGCTGTCCTCGGCGCCTCGAGTATTATTTCCTCGAGTGTAATTCCGCCTTTATAGGCACCTTGAGTATTTTGTTCCTCAAGTGAAATTCTGCATCAATTGTTTTCCATCACATATATCAATAATATGATTAATTCCACATTGAGTCAAATATATGATAACCATGTAGAATAAAATTTCCAAAACCACATAAATATCAAATCCAATCAGTAAATGAAATTCCATAAGCAACCATGTTTTGAAAGAAATTCCTGACTTCGGTCAGTGAACCTGCACCATATTAGTACTTCACAAAAAAAGGATATGCGTACCTGGACTTATTTCTCATCTCGTAGATACAATAATAGCTTCCTCGGTGTGTTTACCTTTAATATAAATTTCAAAAGAAGCGACAGGTTGTGATGCACTTTCCACAATCTTATATGATGTGTGAGATTCCCTTAGATGCTCGTCTTTCCTTCCACTGCTTGAATGCAGCATAAATTCCGAAAGCTAAGTTATGATAACATCATGAAGATACATACGAGTTCCAGTATCATTTATTATTCCACTTTTCTCAGTAGTTCAAATATAATTCCTCACTGAGTATGATTCCCTTTATCAAAGGTATTTTAACAGATTTGCAATTTTCCATAAAGAAACATTTCAAAATATTTTCTATGTATTTCCAATCGTAAAACATAGGATGTTTAAAATGTTCCTTTCATATGAAAGTTAAAAGATGACCAAGCTTTCACTTCCATCAATGTGACTATATCATTGCAAACAACAAAACAATATTAACATATACAATAATAATGCAAAATACTTTACACTTACATTTGTAGATGACCGTCTTGCTTCATTTAGAAAACCATATGACCTGCTATTCCATTGTTGTGAAGCTTGTTATAAGACCATACATTAATATACTCAATTAGCAAATCATCTCTTTAGTTCCTTTTTCCCAAAATTCCAGGAGAGAGAGTTTCCACAAGGCATATTTCCCTTTGTGTGAATAATTGAATAACAAGAGTGACATTATAATATTCCAGCGAGCCAAATACCCTTTAAAAAAATCACTTCCAGACAATAGGCTTGCAGTTATTTGGTATGATATTAAGTTCCCAAACTATGCTCTTCCTCATTTGAGTTTATTCCTTCCCTCAATTGTTCCACCCATAGTTAACATTGAAAAACAAACTTAAAGGGATTTAGCGATTCCTCTAAAATTTAGAGTGGCATGCCCCAACAACATACAACTATTATCCAAACATGATATTCCGAGCTAATTCCTCCCACTTATCCTAAGCATGTCATGTTTGGAGTGTCACTTGTAGTTTCTTTGGGGTCAAGATTATATTCCAGTATGATTGTCAATAATTCCACCCTTGATCATACAAATAATTGTGTTCCTACTTTCCACCCGTTTTCCTTTTCCGGGTAACAAAGGAAACACCCTTTGATCCACTAGAATAACCATGAAAAAAAATCCTGGTGTGCGCTTTGTAATAACTGAGAATTTCATGCCAAAATAGAAGATTTCCTTCCAGTCAACTGATTGTAGTAGATGGAGAATGATATCAACAAATGACAGTATGCAATGCTTCCAAAGAAACAAGGGAGTATACAAGACATTCAATTCCTCCATTCAATTGTGGAGTGTATGGTATATTACAATGGTGAATTGTTCCATGCTCTCTACATCAAACAATATATTCCTGAAGTGTACTTCCCCCACCAATCAGTTGTTAAAACTATGATATTATTTAATCAACTAATTTTCCACTTCAGTATAACATGTGACCAAGACAATAAAACCTTCTGACTTGTATAATAAATGATAAACATAACCATATAAAAGTGTAATCATCGAAGAGTGGGATGAAATAAATAATCTGACCTCTAGTGGGGATGTCCAAAGAAATATCATAAGTATAAAAAAACAAATGTGAAGCCCTTTCATCTCCTTCCACCTTAATAAACAAGGTGTATTAAAAAAATATGCTTCACATGTACCATAGTCCTCCCACTAGAGTTCAAAATTCCAGAATCAACAAGCCTCTTGATCCAGTTCCAAGATATGTGACGATGATGTAGATAATAAGATTCCAAGCATGTGTTCCCATTGTCGATATTCCTCCATATGGAGTTATCTTCGCAAAATATAAACAATATGGTTTGCAAACTTCCAATGGACATCAAGAAAGATAGATCATTGTGTGAAAATCCATACTGCACTAATTTAACTATTGAGCAATATTTCCATTCATCCTTTTCCAAACAGTATGTCATAATCAATAGATTCCAAGATATAACAATAAAGCAAATCCGTTCTTACTGAAGTTTCACAGAGTGTTCAATAGCAATAATACCTTTCCTCCACAAGGGAGTTTCATGGCAAAATTTCCAATTCCAAAGTGTATAAGATTTAGCAGCAATGACAAAGCATAGAAAATATATATATATATATATATAATTTCCTTTGGAACTGTTACCATGTGAACAAAATTGCTATTGCATTCCAGCAATATGAGACATAGCCACAATCCAGCTACATGAAAAAATATCCCTGAATAAATAAATGTAGTGCAAATATTATCATCAGACATACCAACAAATGAAGAGAAATTTCCTTGTCCACAGACTGAATCCCAACTTCCTCCACAAACAAGTGATGCTGAGTAATAAGATCTTTTCTAGATGTGCATAATTTCCATGCTATCTTTTCGCTGAAGTAATTGCCAGCCCATCCGGGCACTCATGATCTAAGGTCCTTGGATTTCTTTTTTTGTACGGACTAGTATTCTTCTGAGGAGTAAATATCATCTCCTTGTCATGAATTGCATGCAATAGATCTGAGAAAAAAATTAATCAGTGATCAGTGATCAAATAAAATGATTAAAACCATTGATGCGTTTGGTGCGTGTAGTCCTTCCAGCAAGCTGGCCGTTGCTTGCAAAAGTTCATTCCACTTTTGTGTTATTTGCCTTCCTGCATATACCAAAGTACTACACGCCTTCGTGTTGAAGCAATAGAAGCAAAAGTAGTTTCTCTTTTCCTTCAGCTATCCTTGCGAAGTGGCCGTTCACAGAAGAAGCGGCATGCAGTGTCGGTTATGGCAAAAGTCAACCGGTCGTCGTTTGTCCGATGGGATGCAACGAAACCATCCAAGCGACACATAGTCACGTACAGGCAGCGGTAGGATGGCAAGCTTGTCCACGTCTTTGGTTGTCAACAGGCCGCCAAACGCAACGGAATTTCCTGGCCAGGACCTCAAGCCAGTGGTGCAGTCGGGTCGCGTCGGGCGCATCTGAGCGACACTGACACGGAGTAGCGAACCCAACGATGCGAAGGTCTAGTGGCGACCTGGTGGCAAACTCGTCGATGCGGAGGTCACCGGCGGTAGTCCAGCTCGACTCGGCGCGGAACGACGCGGAGTCGACGGAGTGGACTTGGAGCGGCGGCTTCGAGAACCCAATCAAGAAAAAATATTACGATTCACAAAGAGAGTTATTTTCCTTCACAGAAGAATCTTGCATGGTGTGCCTCGTATATGGGTTGGGTACATGATTGAGGCACGCACTAGCAGACGACGCGAACTTTGCTTTGACTATTCTGGATCATACGAAGCCTCCAACAACTTGGTGTAATCAGCATGGCGCGAGCGCAAGCTGGCTAGCAGCGCCCGATCGGCGTCAGCCCTAGAGTCGTGCGATGAGGAGGATCCCGAGCGATCTAGAGGAGCAGAGTTTGATCCGGTGGCAGAGTTCGGTCCTGGTGGATCGGCTAGGATCACGGCGGCGGCGTGACCTAAACCTTGCTCAAGATACCAATGTAAAAAATTTAGGGTTTTAGTCTACTCCCTATTCTTCTACGTTTATCCGTGGTGCTGTTCATAAATCGCATATTTGAGGCTAGGGGATAGGGACCTTTTATATTGTTTTTTCAAAGAGTTCACCTTTTATACAGATATAAGATTTCTAAATTTTTTTCCACTCGTTTCCATCAAATTATCAACCACAATCATATTTATCTGTTAACGGATTCTACCCGTTATGTCCCTGGAGCACGCGCTTGTGAGCAACGCGCCATAATAGAGTGTAAATTCCTCTAATTATATAGATCAACATTAGGGCTGTAATCTAACTATACGATCTAGCTCCTTTCAATTATCAGTGTACCCGGGTAATCTTTCCAATATAACTACTATATTGTATTCCACCGATAATCGAATGGCTTCCTTAAGCATATATTACTTAAGTACATTTCAGCAAGTAACAATTCCATGATAAACATGTAAAGCAATTCCATGTATAAAAACATGTATAATTCTATAATAAGGTATTCCAAATATTAACAATTCCAAATCATTTGAATATAGTTGCAGGACACATAATTCCAACAATGTTTGCTAGTAGTGACCTAAATGCTCTTATATTCGGAGGGAGTATTTTTTTTTTTAGAAAAACGGGTCGAGCTGTTGGTACATGGTAATGGGTCTTTCCCATAGGAAAAAAGTGGTAACGGGTTATGAACCCGATCCTAATTCTCCCGGACCCTACCCATGAAATGTGATGCCGTGCCTTCAAAAAAAAAAAAAAAAACTGTGATGCCG